CAAATCAAATTCCCGCAACGTGTCGGTGCAATAATAGACGTTATTGTACAGCTTTTTCTTAGGCTTTCTTATCTTTTAAGTTTAAATCATAATGTTATATTAAGTCATTCAATCTTCATTTCAATTTTTAAATTATAATATATACATAAAATGTCAATATATATTGCAATAATTATAATATAATGTATCGACAGTATATTATTGATTTACTAAATAAATAAATATCCCGCGGCGTTACCTTTATTTCAAACATCTGTATAGATGCTAAGAAGCCTGTATAATTAATATTATCCTTGGCTGAACCACGCAGTAGTCGATCCGCATAAATCCAACGTTGATTTTCTGTTACATCAAAGCGGTTCATAATACCTTCAAACCCATTTATCCAGCGGACTATGGGATATCCATTATCACCAGAGAAATATTCACGATCGATTCCCCATCTCTCAAGTCCACTTTACAAGTTGTATGCATATTGGTAGCCTCAGCTTGCTGAACTGCGTTTTTTAATTCAGATGCTTTTAGTCTGCTGCATACATCTTTCTGGCGCCGTAAATACATAATTTCTTGTGAATATTCATCCACCAGCACGTTGTTTTCTTTCTGCTTCCAAGAATATTATTGTTAACGATGCCGACATATTTTCGGTTGGCGCCACACCAGTTCCATCAATGGCGCACAACGCTTTACTTAGAATTTCACCGTTACATTTCGTCGTCATCATGCCGGTCTCGTCGTTGTGTTCGCCTATGGCAGTGAACAGTGAAAGTGAAAGTAAGCGTGTGGACGTATTTCTATTCAATCGTCAGTTTTTTCTCAATCATATTCGCAAATTTGCTGCAAGAAGTTTTTCTGCATTAGCACTTGGCGGTCACCCAGGAGTGAAAGGCACTTACTATTGTGGTGGCTATAAATTTACGTGGCAGTCAGTCCTGGTCCAGTTCATATCATCATTTGCCTCCAGCTCTCCGACCCCCTCCTGCAATGCAACTCACACAGACTCACTTAGTCAGCCCAAATCGGAGCTTCATGCGACGCCAGGATGGACGTTCTCCGTATAGGCGCCACCACGTACCAGTGTACTGGTGGAACTATCAAATAGCGGAACTGCGCCGCTTATGTATCAAATGCTTGCACAGGTACCAGATGGAGAGGAGGCACGTAAGAATACTGCCTGGTGGTCACCCTGGACGTCAGGAACGCGTTTAACTCGGTAGACTGGGGCTGCATCTTGAAGGCGCTGGTGGCTGAAGGCGTTTCTTTGTACTTGCAGCGCTTCATAAGGAGTTATTTCAGCAACGATGTACTCAGGAATCACACCACATCGGGCACAAAAAGTCAAAAAGCCGTTGCCGGCATTCCCTGAGGTTCAGTTCTAGGGCCCTTCCTGTGGAACGTTATGTACGACGGAATTCTTGCTTTCACCTTCCACCTGATGGGGTATGCAGATGATGTAGTGATCGTTTGTGTCGCAATCGCAATCGCAGCATCCAATCAGTAGTCGCAAGGCGGTAGAGTAGGCTCACATCTACATTGGAGGTCTGCGGAGGCAACTCGGGCGCTTGTATGTATAATACTTACCACTACGCTCTATGCGGCACCGATATGGGCCGCCGCTGCTGTCCACACTGTCCATACAGTCTTTTTTTTATTAGCTACATAAACCAAACTTCGCACAGGATTTCCACTTGGAGGAGCTGAAAGGAAGAGGTAAGATCAAAAGAGCACAAATGTTTTTTTGCTCTGTTTTATTCGATAAAATGGTGGGGTTTATATACAAAATTTGAATGTGCTTAGGTCTAAATATTTTAAAGTATATCTGAAAAGATATCGTCGCTGGGGTTGTCGTATGCAGCACGCTGTATCGGTACTTGCATATCTAGCGCTGGTTTATGTAGACGTGACAACCGGTTGGTGGTTGATCGATGGACATGAGCGGCTGCTGCTCTAATAATAACTATGAATAGCTGCCTGCATTAGGTTCGTGTGCAAATGTATGGCCCCTGTGTAGCTCACGATACGGTCAAGTGCAAGTGACATTGACAATACTTTACTTGTGTTGGACATAATGCACACCAACATACTGCTATGTGTGCAGTACAAAATTAAGTCAACGCTTAATGAACTTTACTTGTGTTGGACATAATGCACACCAACATACTGCTATGTGTGCAGTACAAAATTAAGTCAACGCTGCAACAAAAAAAACAGCGCAGAGTTTAGGCAGACATTACATTTATGGCTACAACTTTTTTCATAATTGGCCTATCATGATACTTAATATATCACAATAGTGGGAGAGTAGGGGTGCATCAGAAAAAATTAACATACTTGATCTGCCTAGGGCTTAGCGGAACCTGGATATCAAGTTTGCTTCTCGCTTCTCACGAAGTATAGTACATTGGATTTATACGGCTATCATCTGACCGATTCTGCTGTATGGGATCGTAGTATGGTGGCCTGAGCTAGACAAATCAACCGCTCTCACCCTACTCAGTAAGGTGCAGAGATCGGTGGAATTAACCATCATCTCCCATTAGCCATCGTAAGAAAAGAACTAGTCACTAATTCGGCCCTACGGCTAAGAGAAACCTCTGCTTGGAAAAGCTCCGCGGGAGATCATGCGAGTATACTCTGCTTACACCCCGGGGATCCGTCCAACACGGACTACTACATACCACAACTTAATTTTGAAAAAACCAACAAGGACAACTTTTTCAGGGATGGCTCCAAATTGGATCTTTTCTCCAGACCTTTCCTCTCCCGGACCACTGGAGCGTCTACCAGACAGAAGGAAACTCCGGCATGCATCCTTTTCGAAAGGGAAGGTAGGGCATGCTGTTCAATTCATTTCGGCTTTTGACGCGTAACCATGCACGGTCTATTGCACAACAACCCTGGGAGAACACAAACTCCTGTGTTCGAGCAAGGTTCACCAGGCCATTCCTTGACGCAAAAAGGACAGCGGTGCCCAACGCTGCAGGCGCAGGCTATTTACCTTAGGGAAACCTTTCCTAAACGATCTCTCTGAAGCAACTAACATAGAGTTCGTGAATTTAGTAAGATTTTTAAACAGGCACACCGGCACAATTAGCGATTACATGGAATCACAAGTCTAAGTGATTGGGAGAGCACCATCACCAGCACCCATCAACCTAACCTAACCTATGCTGCAACACTCACTCCTCGGACTATTGTTTGAAACGCCATATTTTTCTAATGAATACAACTTTTTGGATTTTTAATTATTTTTTTTCTTTTTATTCAGAAGACGAATAAGACTCAACTGTTTAACGATGGAGTAAATCGATTTAATATACATATCATATTTTTATTAAAATACATTTTCTTTTCTTTATTTTTTATTGTTAGATGCATTATGTGAATACGCAGAAAATGTGTATTTAGGATTTTCTCTCTCCCCTACAATCACTGATTTTCCATAACTTACGTAATTCTTGGAATTTTTGACTCAGGTACTGAATATGTGTCCGTATCCTAAGTTTCATTATTCATTCACACAGTTTTTTTGTACATTCTGGAGTATGGAAAGTTGCATCCTGAGATTTCAAGTCTAGACCAAAAAGCTTGATGACACTCATTTTGTGCAAGAAGCCGTCACAATTGTGCTATGTGGAGTATTGTGTGAATATATTTGACGAGTGGAATAAGCAGAAAAATGTGCATCAGCCAAGTGGCCCGTTACGGGCAAAATACCGCAAAATATCGCTTTACAAAAAGCTGTTGGGCTTACGGATGGCAGATGGTCAAAGCATGTCTAGCTATCTGAATAGTTTCGTCTCAAACTTGGATCAACTTGATTTTGGAATAGAGCTAAATAATGAGGTACATATAATAATTTTTCTTTCCAATCTACCTTAAAACCTTGATGCAAGCCGCAATATAAGAAATGTGGCCAAGCATTTGTCGAAGCGATGCCAAAGTGGAACGCAAGTCAGACGCAGGATATATTTTCTTCATTAGTCTTATTTCGTGGAAGTCGAAGAAGAAGCAATTGTACATGAAATGTACAAGAGTAAATTAGGTTTCCGCGAGCTGCAAAATGTAACAGGCAAAGGGAGGCGTATATATCCGACAAAGTATAAATATTCTGGATCAGGATGACAAGTCGAGTCGATATAGCCATTCCCGTCTGTCCGTCCGTCTGTCTCTATGAACGCACGGATTTCAGAAAGTATAAGTACTAGAATTACCAAACTTTGTATCCAGATTCTCCTAAGTCTGAGAAAGTACGAGTTTGAGTTTTTCGATGCACCCCCCATTCCCCCGCAAATCGTGTTTTTTCAATAACTCAAATTTGGTTATTTAATCCAGTTAGTGATTATGTGTCCATATGTTGTTGTTGCTCCTTCTGATCAACTTTGTGCTGCATATATTCACTCATATAAACACGCAGAGACACGATAATGTAAATTTATTCTATTGTTGTTTGTGCTTTCCGCTCGTGCACTTTTATTTGTGTTTTTTCTTTGTAATTAACCCTAGAAAACTTGTGTGGCCAAAATGTCGTGTTGTAAGAACAAGTCTTGAACATTTAAGGATGCTCCGAATTGTGACCAACTGCAGTTTATAAGCAAGCTGGTGGTTGTGTGACAATATGATGCATATTGCATGTGCTGGTCTTAATGGAAGGAATGGAATGGAAGGACCATGATAAGATAGTCGCCAAGCCCAAAAAAGGCTATGACGGTCTTGTCCTACGTGCATTGACATTCAATTTGATTTTTTGATTGATTTTTTTCTTTTTTCTTTTACATGGACAGCATTGTTTGTCGATGAAATAAATGAATAAATTTAACAAATTCTATGATTGCAGATATATTGACCAACATTTTTTACAGTTACAGAATAACGTTTGGCTAGTGAAATCTAAATTTGAAGTAATTTGTGAGTCCGGCTTTTTTCTCCGTAATAATATTTTATATATAATTTATACATTACATAAATCGTCTTTATAAGTAAATAATTCACACAATGAATCGACGTGTTACATACATAATCATTTTATATTTCAAGATTTAGAACATAAACTTTAAGTGTTTGGAACATTTCTACTAGAGTTTACTACGCGCACCTTTAGCTTTAATGTCAAGAAATGGTAGTGCAATTGGGTAGAGTTCTTTAGAGGACTTAAACGAAACGATGTCAGTGATCGATTCGTGACTTTCCATAATTTCGTCAATATTGTGGTCATCATCTCTGTTTTCAATTTCTTCCCTCTGGGTTGATATTATATAGACAGAGAGCATACGACGCTCTTTTCCATTTTTAGCTATGAAGTTCTATAAATGAATAAAAGATTCGTAACCAATAATATTCAATGCTTTTATAAAAAAAATTACCTTAAAATATTCGATAAGATCTTCTTTCGTTATTTTACGTAATATGGCCACCTCCGCCTCTTCGCGCTCAAAATGGTACGTTTGCATAGCTATTTCACCATAAAATTGACTAAATTGCTGAAATAACGTTTTTGGTTTCTCCAGTTTTTTAACAGCTAGTGATTCTTTGTGGCGTTGAAATTCTTCAAGTGACATGTCTTCAAGTATTTGCTAAATAAAAAAATATAACGATTCTTAGTGTGAAATTTAGGTGAACTAATTATATAAGAATTAGAATTTGCACAGATTTTAATGATATGCCTATATGAATCTAGCAGGTTCGACATCCTATTAAACGTATCTAAATATTCCGAACATATCCTATAAATGTGAATAATTATTATTATGTAGTTTATTAATATTATATAAGTTCAATACAAATTAAAGTTAAGCGTACAAAGATATATTTAAAATAACATTGACGGGATAACAACTCGGTAACGGCTTGCTTGACGACTGGCAATGAACGGCTGAACACGACTGCACGACTAACGACCGACTCCAGACTGCTGCTACTGACGACTGTTTCTGCTGACGACTTCTTTTATACTGCTGATTCTCTCGACTGCTCTACTTATTCTATGTCTGCTTCTCGAATGTTCGACTGCTGTTTCTCTGCGACCTCTGTACTGCCGCTATAGTGCCAATGCGTGCGCCTTTGCCAACCAAAGCACCGTTAGCAATGTTACATTCGGTCATCCTGATCATTCATCTGGCCAAGATGACCAGCCACATTAGTTGTCGACCACATATATCCATAATTTTGGGCAGTCACAGCTTGTTGACATGTTTGTTGGGACTTCGACACCTGTCGCCTTCCGGACGTCATATCTCCCATTTCGCTTGACTTTTGTAATCTCATATGGTCCTATATATTCGCTTGCAAGCTTCTTCCCAGCCACAAACTGGGTACGGCGTATGGCGACTAGATCCCGGACTCGGTACACTTGCTCAATTTTGCGCTTCGTGTCATATTGTTATTTATATGCGTCCTGAGCCCACTGAATATTCAATTTCGCATTTTGCCGCATTAACTGTAGCTCAGCATCGAAAGCATCGTACATCTCCAAATCAAGTAAGTTTGATACATGCTTACTTGGGATGTTATTCATTTTTACTCCGAACATCAGCTCAAATGGCGACCTCTTTGTCGAAGCGTGGACGTGAGAGTTAATGGCCTTCTGCACACTTGGTACAAACTTATACCACTTAGACGGCTCCTCAGATGATAGCTTTGAAACGACGGATAGGGTAGACCGGTTCACACGCTCAATTTGACCATATTCTCTTGGTACTCCTTGTAAGAATCTTATGAATATTTGAATTTAACCGTCTTATTATTTGCCATTATTAATTTGTTGAATTGGGTGACACTGAAGTAAAAATAGTTTGTTTGTTATTATTTTTGTAATTGCCGAAACGAACAGACGCGAAAGAAATACAAAATTGAAACGAATTTATAATTGGAAATAAGAAGTGTTTTTATTGCCGCCACCGAAACCTTACATCTTTCAATTTTGTATTAGTCGTGCTGTCAGCAAAACTTTCCAATTGTTTCGTTCTCAGTTTTAATTCGCGATCGGTTCGTCGTTTATAGTTGTGAAATAGTCGTATGCATATGTACAGTTGGTAGCCAACCGATGTATGTATGTGTGTATACAGGAACCGCCTAAACGTTTGTCTGAATATAATTGGTAGTCAACCAATATATTTAATAGTCGAGTGCACATATGCAGTTGGTAGCCAACCAGTGTATTTGTGTGTGCAAACCGCCGAAACTCTGAATAATAGAATATATTTGGTAGCCAACCAATATATTTCATTTCATTGCTGTCGCGCATTTCTTTGTATACATACGAGTTTTCGCCGCGATCCGTTATATTCGTGGCGTGAGAAAGAGAAGACGACGCTTCCATTTCGCCGCGTTGAAAGTTTAGCTTAGAAGAGCTTAGAACTAGCTCCCTAACAAAAGTTACACTGCAAAATCAACAGAGATGTCAAGCTTGAGGACACTGACAGAGTCTGTGCTACGGAGTCTGCAAGAAATTACCAATATCAAGGCAATGGTAAGACAAACTCAGCAAGATATAATTCGGTTGGACGAACGGGCTCTGACGTCAAAAGAAGCAGATCCAGCTCGCAAGGAGAATGTGTGTGTGCCGTCGTCATTAGACACACATTTTGGTGAGTTAGCTAAGAATGAAAATACGACGCAGGAAATTGACGGTGCGATGCCTCAATACAGACAAACGAAGAGTGGTCGTTATTTATTGCTAATTTGAACGATACCACGAATGAGTTTAAATATAACAGTCGTCAAAATTTAATTCGTTTGCATAAGTGTCTTATAGGCGAAGCCAAAATTACAGTTGCCGCTATGATGATATATCCGGAAGATGTGCCCATGGTGATTGAGGAGTTGGAGTTTCGATTTGATCGGCCAGAATTACTCGTCGGTACACAGTTGGCCAAAATAAGGGAATTCCCAAAAATTCCATATAACAAACAGGATCAAATAAAAAAAAAGCTTTCGCTTGTCTTTGCATTTGGTCGTGTTTTTACTTAGCTCCGCTTTTTATTAATTTTCACTTTAAGTTCCGAGCTTTTTTACCATTTAAATAACTCACGCAGATACGGACTCAACACCCGCTTCGAGTTGTTATTAAATATCGCCTTGTGAAAGACAGTGATTTTATATATTCCCCAATAATTAATATTGTTTGCGCCGCAGTTTTCTCTGTAATTGTTGTTGCATTCTTGATATATTTTTGCATACACTGTGCTTGAACGCGTAAACAACAACACAAATTCACTCGATTTAAAAGCTCTGCTAACCGCGCTAGCACCCGTGTTTGTTTTTGCTTTTTGTTATCTCTACCTATACTTCTACCGTGTGGACTATACACGTGCCCTCTGCTTGTCATCTCAGCCATCTGTTTAGCTATTGCACTGTCTAACACAAATCGTCGCTATGTTTACCTGCTGCATAAAAAATTGTGCGTTTAAAAACAAAATTGCAACCGACAGTTTTTATCATGCTGGCTTTGCAAGAACTTGTCGCATGTTAAATGCGCAGGACTTAATGGACGCGTATTGGATTTTATTTCGCTACGCATGGGACTCAATTGGACTTGTCTGGATTGCAGACATATTAAAATGGAGATGCGAACTTTCATGGCGCAGACCAGGAATGGACTTAAGGATATAAATGATGACTTAAGATCACTTGCCTCCAAATTTAATGCTCTCGATTACAACTGCTGTCTGAGTCTCCTAAAAGGAAAAGGAATAAACGTAACTCGCTGACTGATTCAGATAATAATTAATGTTTTGCAAATTTCAGTTCCTTGATCCCGGCAACCATCGTCCTCTTTTACCTGGTGCCTCTGTCACTACTACCACTACCACAGATTTAGTTGCTGAATCAGAAAAGGGAACTTCTACCAATGTTACCACAACTCTCGCACATCTCTCGTTCGTCTCATTTTGGAATATTGTTCATGTGTATGGTCACCCCAGTGACCCCCAAAAAATACCAGGAAATGATTGAGGCCGTCCAAAAGCAATTTTTATTGTTTGCCTTGCGAGGCCTTCAATGGACGTTTGCCACCTTATCGTGACAGATTACGTTTGATCGATCTCCCTACCTTGCACGATCGTAGAACCTGTCATGGTGTAGTTTTTTTTATTTACAAGCTACTGGCGGGAGAAATCTCTTCAGGCAACCTAATTCATCGTAAAAGCTTCGTAGTTCCCTCTAGACCTTCAAGAAATTTCCGGCCTCTACATCTTCAGCGCTCTACGTCAAATTTCGCCCTTTACTCTCCTTTTCGTGTTCTGTGTTCAAATTATAATGAACTCTACCATTTAATTTCTATTATACAATCCCCCAGTAACTTAAGCAGTAACATCCTTTTTTACTTTACTAATCATCATTAAATACACTTGCACTAATGCAATACTAATCACTCGCTGTGAGTCGGGGCACAGCGGCCTATTTCGGCGACTAAAATACCCCATTAAGATTAGTACTGTATTACTACATGGTATAAGTTTTCTTTTTCTTTTGTTATACAAAATGGCAGTATCATTTGCAATTAATTTCGTCAACATTTGAGTAACCCAATGCTAATAGATGAACTTGTAAACAAATTGCCAAATGACTATCAAATGGATTGGCTAAGGTATGCAGATAAATTTCCCACAAGTCCCTCCATTGCCGATATTTCAAAATGGCTATCCGATATAGCCAGAGTGGTCAGCCGTTTGCCAGCCATTACCGAGACATTTATAAAACAGCCGACTTTAACAACACCAAAGCCGATTCTTCATTCAAATATAATTACTAATATTTTATTATGTCCTTTATGTAATGATAAGCACGCTCTGAGCCAGTGTAAAGTATGGACGGCCCGTTGGTACATTGCAAAGGCCCACCGGCTTTGTTTTGCTTGTCTTACTAAAGGTCACAACATGCAGAACTGTGAACAGAAAATTAAATGCGGAATTGGAAGTTGTACTCGCGTGCATCTTCAAACGCTTCATCAAGTATCAGCCAATGGTCAGATTGCCAATTCCAATAACGAGAGACAAGAATCAGAAAGGCCAAGACCAGTTATGGCATTGATGCCAAATAATGTCTATAGTAATCAGTTGTTCAAGATATTGCCAGTTGTTTTGTGTGGTCCAAATGGAAAGTATGATGCGTTTGCTATGTTTGACGAAGGTAGTGCCATAACTCTGATCGAAAGTAATATTGCGTCTAAACTTGGTTTAAAGGGTCTTGAAAGACCTTTGTCCTTACAGTGGTACAATAATAGAATAGTCACCGAACGGTCCAAGCGTGTCTGCCTTGAAATTGCTGACAGTAATAATGGCTGTCGATTTGATCTAAAGGGTGTTCAGTCAATGAATTACATTTAGCAGTCCAATCATTTTCTAAAATTAATTTCCATCACCTTCGAAAGGAAAGTCGATCCAGTCGCCATTAAGACAAAGCTCGGGTGGTTGGCGTATGGACCAACAACATTGCATGGAAAAACTGACTCAATAGTGACGTATATCAAAGCCGTAGAAGAAGATGAATTGCAAAGATTAGTAAAGGAATATCCGATCATTTTGGTATTAACAATTTACAACCAATTGAGAGTGTAGACAATAATAGAGCCAGA